GAAGAGCACAAACATCACAAACCTGGGATGGGATGGGATTTTTAACACAGCACAGCTTCTTGATGGCACTGTAGAGATCATCTCTGTTGCCAAAAATGATGCAAACTACAAGCTGCAAATTGGGCTGCACACAGAAGTGAAAAGCTTGAGTATAGTGATCTTAAACAACATCCACCAAACATCTCAGCATTCACTGGTAATGACAAAGAGATAAAAATACAGGAAAGATACATCAGACGAGGCTCTGTTCTCTTTGATCAATTTGAACGTTTTAAGGTGGAAGCAGTCATCAAAAGATGGGTGCAGGATGGTCATTAAAGGATGGGAATGAAATGATTCTCAGTTGGAAAGCAGTCCGAACTGTGCAAAGAAAATATCCACCACACTGTTACACCACCATCACTATTAACAGCTGACACCAGACATGAGGGATGCTGTGCTTTTGCCAAATTTGGACCCTACCATCTCAATGTTGCAGCAGAAACTGATAACAGGCAACATGTTTCCAATCTTCTGTTTTCCAATTTTGGTAAGCCTGTGCAAACTGTAGCTCATGTTCTTAGCAGACAGGAGTGGGACCCAATGTGGTCTTCGGTTGATGCAGCCCATCGACTACAGAGTTCAAAATGTTGTGCATTCAAAGATGCTCTTCTGCACAGCTTGGTTGTAACAAATGGTTATTTAAGTGACTCCTGCATTTTTATCAGCTAGAAGCAGTCAGACAATTCTACTATGGCATTCACCCAGAGAACTGCTGCTCACCAGATATTTTCTCTCCTTCAGACTATTCTCTATAAACACATGAGACGGTTGTGTGGGAAAATCCCGATAGATCAACAGTTTCACAAATATTCAGACAAGCCTGTCTTGCGCCAACAACAACAACTTTGCCATGGTCAAAGTCCCTTAAGTTACCTTTCTTCTGGATTCTAGTGCTCAGTGAACTTCAGTAGGCCATTTAAGTATGCAGAGATGATCGAAATGACCATGGACTCAGGTGCTGCCATGTGATTGTTAAAGTAAATAATTAATAAGGCAAAAGGCTGAACAGGGGT